CTGGTCTGAGCTGTGAACTCAGCTCATAGGCCTGAACAAGGCTGGCCACACTTTCCTGCCTAAATGACGACTAGAGACTCAGTGGTGAAGTCAACTTCTCTGCATTAGGTATTGTGCTGGCCTGTAAATCAGTTCTACATTTTGAATATCGCTCAATTTCCATGAGACACTCATGACCTTCTATATTTACAGGTAGAGGAAGGATATTTGCTGGATAGTTTACTTGACATATCTACGTGGTCACATCTGGATACTCAAGGAGATGATGATAGTAACGTTGTCACTGTGCAGTCAGTACAACTTTCCCTTTTACAGTAAGGTTAACCAGCTTATGGTGAGAGAACATTTCCACAGGGTTCCTGATGGGTCAGAGATGAAGCTTTTTCATATAAGAAGTAAGCTACAGCTAGGGACTGATTATACTGAAGAAACCCCAACTCAACCTGTAATAGTGCTGTTGAGTTGTATTTATTAGGTTGTGTGTATGTGCCTGTATCTGTTTTTGAGTCAACACTTCACAAGCATGACCCTGTCTGCAGGAGATGAACAGCTTGAAGGGTTTGGTATAATCAGACAAAACTAACATAGGAGCCTGTTGCATCAAAGTTTTGATGGTTTTAAAAGCACTGTAGCCCTCACTTGTCTTTCTCAATTTGATCTGAAACATACCAGCCCCCTGCTCCTTTGTCATAGCTCTTAGACTGGCCACTATGGTCAGGAAGCTATTCATACCGTCTGAGCAGTAGCATATCTAACCGAAAAAGGACATCATTTCTTCTTGGTTGGTTTATTCTGAGCTTTTCCAGCTAGCAAAATCCTTCATCTATCTGCCGCCCTGTTTAATCTGTTTTCATTAAATATTGTACCAGGTCCCAGAAGTCCTGCAGTTTATCAAAGAAGCTTCATTCCCTCTCTCTGTAAGCAGTTTTAGCACGAAGGTCTTAGTCGTCTCTGGGATAACAAGAATATCTCTCAGAGTGTTCCCTTATACAGACGGTCCTGTATGAAAACTCATAGGTGGGTCACCAGATGGTGTATAAACATGTATGAGGGTCAATGTATTATCACAAAATGGGGACCTCGTGTATAAGAGTGTGTGCATTTTAAGTACATCTGGTTGTTGTGTAATCACCTTGAAATCTGTGTATGTGGACACAGGAATGTATCTAAATTGCCTCATTGCGCTTAATTGTGAATGTAACTTGAATTGTCTCTCCACCTGTATTGTTCTCAGCAATACTGAGAATAATGTCAGTGACAGTCCTCCTATGCAGATGGTTGTGTGTATAGGTGTAGAAGCAGGTCCCCAGATGGTAGGTTTTTACACCAACGTCTATGAATGTGAAAATGCCTTTCTGCAAAACGGTGACCTCATATGGGTGGATGTGAGTTGTGGTCGTTTCAAGAACTTCTGGTAAGTATGTAAACTGCTAACAAAATTACTCCCAACTGGGAGGATACAGGATTCCTGTCTGTTGCCCTGTTTTATGAATCTGCCTAAATATTATACTTTGTTCCAGCAGCACTGCAGTTTTTCAAATGTGTTTCATTCCCTCTTTCAGCAAACAGTTTTAGCAGAAAGATGTCAGTTTTCTCTAGGAATATGAGAATAATAGAAGCATGTCCCCTTACACACAGTATGCAATTTTATATGAGGGTCCCCAGATGGTACATGAGTGTATATGAGTGTAAATGTTTTCCCACAAAATGGGGACCTCCTGTATGTGTGTGTGTTTTTAGTGCGTCTGGTGTGTGTGTGTGTGTGTGTGTGTGTGTGTGTGTTGGTGCACATAAGAAAACATCTAAACAGCCTCACTGTGCTACAGTGTGAATGTAACTTTAATCTTCTCTCCCCTTCGACCACTCTTTATGATACAGAGGATAATCTCAATTCACGTCCCCCTATACAGAGGGTCATGAATGGAATCGTATAAAGAGGTCCCCACATGGTAGGTGTTCAAATCTACAGTGCATGAATGTGTATGACTGTAAATACCTTCCTTCAAACTGGGACCTCATGTGTGCATGTGTGTGTTTCAAGTGTGTGTGGTAGGTGCATGAACAGCTCTAAGTATATATGCATGTTTGTGCACGTAGGATTGTGTCTGTATGTGCGCAACAGGAAGAGAGGCAACCTGAGAAGGAACATACAGGTGATGTGATCAAGCTTTCCTCAGCAACAATAGATCATACAGACCAGCATCACACCCAGCTAGTTAACTATCCACAGTGTATTCTATACACTTTATACCTGTCAGTCAGCTACTATTCTCCACCAGACTTTTGTCATGGATTGAAGTCCTTTATTTGTCAATAAAGTGTTGTACAGTAACGTTCCAGGTGACAGAAATGTGCCCTGCCTCTGCTCTGAGAACAATCACAGCAGATCCTAATAGTTCAATAAAACACATGACAACATGTGTGGCGTTAACACAGCTTGTTATTATATCAGCTCTCATCCAGCAGACTCAGGTACAATCAACCAGCTTTGATATGTAAGGTGCACAGTGACACAAATTTTAATATAGAAATATATGCTTTGGTTTTTGATGAGCTGTTTTAAATGGCTCTTTGATAAATATTATTTCAGATGATGTTTATTGTTAAACAGTTTTAAACACTTCTGAATCGACTCAATTAAATTAAAATTTCTGTTTAATCAGCAGAGCAGTCACACATGATGCACTCACCCAGAACCATGTCACTGAGCTCCAAAAAGACAGTTTTATCATCAGATTCATTGATTAGTTTTTGCAGCTCTAAAACAACACAAGAAGTATTACAATGTTCTTTACCTCTTAACTGCTCTGTTCTACTGTCACAGAGACCTTCACTGGTAACATCTTCACTTTATCATCAGTGTAAATGAATGGAAACATCTTCTGGGTGAAAGTGTGATTGAAGGTGTGTATGTGTGTTTTAGTATCAAGATCAGAGAACGACAACTTTCCTCTGTTACAGTCCAGATTCACTCTGATCCTCTGGAGCTTCTTCTGCACCGAGAGACCAGTGGAGGGAGCTGGTGGTGAATATGCTGAGTATTTACCGTTGTAGAACAATATTCTCCATAATCCAGTCTGTGTGATTCCCTTCCTCTGAACAGACTCTTCTATCACACCCAGGTCCCAGCATGTACTGTCTCCAACATCAACATTCCAGCTGTGAGTCCCTGAGTTGAAGCCTTCAGAACCCAGAACAGACCACCACCACCTATCAAACCTCTCTGGATTATCAGGAAGCTGCTGTTTGTATGTTTTTGTCACACTGGTCAGATCTTCAGACAGGATGAGGTTTGGATGTGCAGTGTTTGGGTCCAGAATCAGAGGAGTGTAGGAGACCA